TCCTTGTTTGATTTCTGATGAGCAGTCAAGTTTGGGAACTCACCACAAGTGGCAGAATGGAGAATAAAAGTTATCAGAAAGCAGATTTATCTCTGATTGAGGAAAAGCTTTCTGATTCTGACCAACAATGGAACTTAAAGAAGTGTGAGCCTCTGATGCTTATAAGTAAGCATTCAAACATGGGCCAGATGTCTATTGGGGTGAGACAGGAAGTCCACAAACTCAGATGCTGTGTTCACTGGGATTTTGAACTATTTACCCCAAGGGCCTTCCTTTCTAAGAGTGGATATTGTTTAGCTGTTGACCTGTTGCCGTGTGTACATATGGCAACTCCTACGTGGCTTTCTCCTCTGGCTTTGGGCCTTCTCTGGCTGCACTCGGGGAGAAAGTTGGCAGAATTCTGAAAACTACATTAATTTCTCTCCCAACCCAGGAAAACCATTCCTTGCGTGGAGGCTGTGTCTTGTCTCTGACTTCTGCTTCTTCGGCTACTGTTCACCCCACACAGCAGTGCCCCCTGTGTGGGCTCCACTGCTGTGTTTTGGAAGCTGTGACATTAGGTAACTAATCATCTCTTCCTTGTGGCCCTAATAAACTGGGTGGACACATCATCATGCTCAGTGCCATCTACTCCTGAGTTCCAAGAGCTCCAAAGTGAAAGAGAGGACGTTTGAGTCAAGATGTAGGACTTTCATCTTATATCTGTTCCACATCCTTTCTCTTAATCTTCTCATATGATGGAGAAGAAACCAAGATCCTGGAGTCATCCAAGAAACCAAAGGGCAGTGGGTAGGACAGGCAAACATGGTGGTCCTGGGCTTAGAGGTGGATATGCAGACCTGAACCTCAGCTCTGCCTCTCACCATCCAAATGCCCTTAAAAACAGGATTATAGAAGTTCTACAAAAAGACCATGGAGATCAATCAAGTCAGTAGAGTGTTAGGTTGGTTGGCTGTTGACAAGTAAGAAATGTTTGATAAATGTTTAGCTACTGCTAACAAACATCTTTGTCATCATGGTTTTCATCTGTCATTGGACACGGAAAAATGATTCTAATCTATTGGGCAAAGGATGATATGTCTTGAGTAAGGGGTAACTGCTTAACTTGATCTTTGGGTGTTAAGGATAAGAAGTATCTGACCGGATTTCCCAAAAGTCTTGTAGCAGTTTCAACATCAAAGGTAAACTAAGAATGGCTGCTGTGAATTTGCCGTTTTTTGGACATGACCTTGCACTTTAGGAAGTGGTATCAGGACCTCTTAAGGGCAGTACAGGATCAGCTCTTCTCCAAGGATTCTCCTGCCCCCTCTGTATATCCTCAGAGCCATCTGTGGAGGAGGTGGGTAAGGGGCCTCCCTGAAACTTTGGGCTTTCCTCTCCTTGGGAAAATAATAAGATGGAAACTCTAACTTTGTCATGTGTCATACTTATGAAAATGTCCCTAGACATATCTGCTGCCCCTGACCTGCCAGATTAGCCCTGTAGGCTATACACTGTGCTATTGGCTCTTGATCTCTGTGTTTTGGGAATCACTAGACTAGAAAGTGGCCTTTTTTTTTTGGTTTTGGTAACAGGAATTTAACCCAGGGGTGCTTAATCAATCACTGAGCCACATATCTAGCCCTTTAATTTTTTTTTTTTTTTTTTTTTTTTCATTTTGAGACAGGGTTTCACTAAGTTGGTTGCTTAGGGCCTTGCTAAGTCGCTGAGACTGACTTTGAACTTATGATCCTCCTGCCTCAGCCTGGAGAGCTGCTGGGATTACAGGCATGTGCCACTGCATCCAGCCAAAAGATTGCCTTTTAATGGATGTGGCCAGCCTGAGTTCACTACAGTGCTATTAGTTAGGCCTGTGTAGACCTACTGTAGTCTAGCAGGAGAGGGGCAGTCATCTAGCAGAGTAGATAAGAGCATAGGCCAGCTAGACTGCTCCATCTAGTCCCTGCTCCATCCTGGCCCTTTTTGTCTATGTGACTTAGGGCACATCGCTTTCACCTCTCTGTGGAATGGAGGTAATAACAGTACCCACGGGGCTGGGGATGTGGCTCAAGCGGTAGTGTGCTCACCTGGCATGTGTGCAGCCCAGGTTCGATCCTCAGCACCACATACAAACAAAGATGTTGAGTCCACCAAAAACTAAAAAATAAATAATAAAATTCTCTCTCTCTCTCTCTCTCTGTCTCTCTAAAAACAAACAAAAAAACCAGTACCCACCTCCAAGGACTCCTGTGAGGGTTAATGAGTTAATGGGTGCCAAGCTTTGACAACAAAAACTCACACATGCTGGCACTATGGGAGGGCTTGCTGTTATTACCGTTGTCCATGAGGGCAGGTCAACACTGGCCCTGGATGTGGCCTGGTATTGGCCTCTGGTCTGGGTTGCCCTAAACTTTGTGCATTTGTGCACCCTAGTGGTTAGGAAGCAGGAGGTCAGTGACCTGGCCTGGGCCTGGGAGGGTGGAGTGCCAAGCTGGGAGGCTGAAGCAGTGGAAATGAGGCAAGCGAGGAGCTAGGACCCTGAAATGGAACAGAATGAACAGCTGGGTTCTCTCTGATTTAAATCAATGGACTTATTAAATAGTCTGAGGCAGTTTTTTAATATATACGGCAATGGGGAATTCTGGGAAATTCTTGTTGTGCAATTCTAAACCCAACTGATAAGACTGATCTTTTTGTAGGCTGGGGAAGGAGTGGAGAAGTGGCTGAGGGCCGACTTAGTGGGAAGAAATTGCCTTGTCACCACTGTCTGCTCCTATTTTGTCCTTCTCCAGCCCATTTGAGGATTGTGTGTGTTCATTCCTTGGGTTTGGAACACTGGCACTGTGGAAGGGGGTGATGGTGGGTGATGCATCACGGGCTCTCCTTTATCCTGCTCCTCACGGCTGCTTTCAACATTTTACCCCAGACTCTGGTCTTTCCACTTTTAGAATCTTGAAAGATTGATAAGAAGTCATTTACTGGTCAAGATCTTTGAAGTGATCTGATGGCCCATCTCATTCTACAGGGCCAGAAACAGTCCCATAGAGAAGGGACAGTCCAACCCCTGTAGGAAGTTAGAATAGGGCTTGGAAGGGAGAAGATGTAAGGGGACTCTCTCTCTTTCTCTTTTGTCACAAAGAAGGACACTGGGTTTTCCATGAAAGGATTAAATACCTGTACTGTTCCTCTGGAAAAATCCTAGGTTGCAAGTTAAGTTGTAAAAGAAAAATCAAGCGGAGCCAACAAAAAATGGTGGAGAATATAAAAGGCTATAATAATATTAATGACCATATTTGGCTGAGAAAGTTAATTTTGCTCCTCCATTAAAGTTGGGCCAGGGTAAAGGACTTGTTTCTTATGGCGAGTAACATTGGTAGTGGACATCAGCCAACCTTTTCCCTTGGGAATCCGTGAGTTTCAGAGCTGGTGAAGGATGTGGTATCCCTTCTAGTCCCTCAGTTGGCTGATAAGAACAGGAGGACCATGTACTCATACCTTCAGGTCACAACTGGGTCCTGGCTATATGGAAACTCATGCATCTCCTTGGATGGGTCTCTGTCAGCCCTCTTCCTACAAAACTGGGAATATCATGGCCAAGGCAGAGAGCTTCCAAGGAGGAAACTGTCTGAGAGGGACACTGGAGGCCTCTCCTTCTGGTGTTCAGTCTGGAAAAGTTTGTAGACATTTATTGTGGAAAACAAGATCAGTGAAATAATTAGGGAGAGTTGTTTCCACCTGCGAGCACAAGAGAGGTGTGATTTATACAGAGCCCCTATTATGTGTCAGGCACTCTGCTACTCCAGAGATATGAGCCTAAAGAAAGAAACATCCGTCTTTTAGCCTTTGGTGCTTATGGTCTAGCCGCTAATATAGATGGCCCCTGGCTCACATGGTTCCACCAATAATTTTTTGACTTTATGATACTGGGAAAGTGATACATGTTCACTTTGAAGTTTGAATCTTGATCTTGGCCCAGGATAATGGTAGTATAATGGGCAGTGCCAGTTAGCCGTGGCTCCCAGTTAGCCATGTGCTTGCAAGGGTGAATGACGGATATTCTACCGTGTAGAGTGGCTAAGCTATAATGTTCAGTAGATTAGAGCTTAAATACATTTTCATCTTGAGACATTTTTCAGTATAGGATGCGTTTCTCGGGATGTAACCTCACCCTAAGTCCAGGAGCAGTTGTAGACAATCATTTCCAAATTGTGGATGGTGTTGGGGAAAGCTAGAGTCCTTAAAGTATCAGGGAGTCCCAACCATCATATTCAGGAAGGTCAGAGAAGAGGAGTCTGTGGAGAGAGGCCTGAAGAGTTGATGGGAGATGGCAGGGGCTGGTGCATGGACCCCAGGGCAGGGAAGAGCAGGCTGGGAACTGAACCAGAGATAGAGTCTGCTCAAGGGTACGGAGACATACCATAAGATCAGGAGCTGGGCAGAGGCCAGGTCACCTAGAAACTTGGAAGGTTTTCTGGTTTGGTTCCAATGGGAAGCCGTGGATAGATTTTTAAGTAAGAGAACAGCAGAGTCTGGCTTGGGGGTTGAAAAACAGATGGAAGATATATGAGATTGTGTGAGCCCAGGTAAGAGGTGCTTGGCCTAGGGTGAGGGACAATGGGATTGACATGACTGGCCGTGTGAGGTATGTGGGGAATAGAGGAGGGTCAGTAATGAATTTTAGTTGTCAGGTGTTTTAATTCAACCTGTCTGAAAAGAACTAACTTCTCTCTTCCCCAATTGTCCTTTCCCCAGGTCTTAAATATTCTCCAGAAATAAAATTAAATCTATTTTCATTATTTTAATTTTTCAGTTTAAAAAAGATAATCTTGATAATTTGATTCCCATTAGTAGTCTTTAATAATCACGTTTTATGAATGACAGATTTTATTCTTTTGAAGGGATGTGTTATATTCTATTAGATGAACCTAATATTATATATTATATTATGTAACTATATATATTTAATATATTTATGTATGTATTTAATCCCTAGGTCTTTATTCTTGTTTTCTCTTTCAGGTTGAGCAGTATCTCTACCACATGCGTCTCTCTGATGAAACCCTTTTGGAGATTTCTAAGCGGTTCCGCAAGGAGATGGAAAAAGGACTTGGAGCTACCACCCACCCCACTGCTTCAGTGAAAATGCTGCCAACTTTTGTGAGGTCCACCCCAGATGGGACAGGTACTGCAGCTGGGGGGTGGTAGTCCTGAGCAGTTTGGCTGTCATTACTTAGGGACCCAAAGGTTCTTTGGTTTTAAGCTTCAGAAGCCAATCCAGGCTAATGTAAGCAGGCGGGCAATGAATGGAAGGCTGTGGAATGGGCTAGGCAGGAAAGCTGGGAAAGCTGGCAGTCTGGGCAGGCGAGGTTGAAACACCTCTTTGTCAGCACTACCTGGACACTCTGACAGCCGTTTGTTTTCCATCATGGGCTGAGAAAGGCTTCTTGGCTGTTTGGGATTTTACAGTCCCACACAGATTGCTCACAGTGGTGGTGATGAGCCACAACAAGCATACTGTGATGGTCACAGCCATGGGCTCTGGCAGTTGCTTTCTGGCCCACCTATGTGCACATAGCCAGCACATTCTTTAGGCATGCTGGAGAGACAGTGTAGTTCAGATGGTCCTAGATTCTTTCATTTTCTTTTCTTTTTTTTTCAGTTGGGGATATCACAGTGTTGATGGTTCAAATTCCTGGGATCTAGTGATCCTCCTGCCTTTGTCTCCTAAGTAGCTGGAACTATAGGCATGTGACACCTTGCCTGTTGTTTTTGTTTTTTTCTTCTTTGTCCTGAGGATTGAACCCATGGGCACTGAGCTACGTCCCCAACCATTTTATTTTTTCAGTTTTTAAACAGGGTCTCTCTAAGTTGCTGGTGGTGACCTTGAACTCTTAATCCTCCTGCCCCAGCCTCCCAAGTCACTGGAATTACAGGCTTGTGCCACCATGCCTGGCTCATCCTAGATTATTTTTTGAGCTTTATGAAAAAAATACTAGAAGTCTGAATAAACTTGGGGAAAATGTGAAGAACCACAGTGCACATGAGGTATCAAAGGTTCTGAAGTTCTATTGCAATAAGAACCTATTATGCTTTCTTTAATTCCCTGATTGGATACAGAATCCCTGTTTCATGGTGTGCCACCCATGAAAGCCTCAAACGTCCAGTCTTTCTTCGTAGGCACTGGGGAGTCAATAGAAGAACTGTGAGCAGAACTGTCTTGGTAATGTTATATCATCAACAGTAATTGTGGAACAGAGCAGGAGTGGAGGGGTCCAGATTGGAGATACAGAAATGACCCTGTCATGTTGTGTTGATTCAAAGGGAATGTCAGGAGGTTGAGCACAGCTGTCTGGATGACAGCATCCTTAGAGAAGAGGTTATAATGAGCTGTAAGAGCTTCACACTACTTGTTTCATTCAGTCCTCATGATAGCATCCCATGTCAGAAACGAAGCATCTGTGAGGCCCATGAGTGTGGGAGGCCAGGGGAAGCTCCTCACATCTAGAGGAACAGGGGAAAGAGCCCAAGGAGCAATTGCCAGGGCAGTGGAAAAACCAGGAAGCTCAAGTCCAAGAACTAGAAGGGAGGAGAGGACTCCAAGATGTCAGCTGGTCTCTGGTGAGGTGCTGCAAAGGAGTCACAGAGCTGGGGGCTACGGGCTCCAGGGAGGCATGGGTTATATAGCTTATTCATGTACCACATGCCTGTGTGCCTCATATTTGTGTCCTTAAGGCTCACCATCCTGAGAGTCTTTAGGGACCTTGTTTGTCTAACAAGACTTTGTATAATTCCTAAAATAAGTCTATGTTTGCTGAAGCCTTGGGACCCAGCCTGGACCCAGCGCTGATGGTGTGACCTTGTTCAGGGTTGTTCTAAGTGTGTGTGTCTCAGCCCTTCAAAGAGGTGGCAGGCCTCAGGAGTTCTTCCTCCAGTGCCCACTAGATTGGCACATTTAATGAATCTATCTCTCTTGGACTGGAAACCACACCCATTTCTATTATTCCTATTTGACGTTCTGATAAATTTACTGGCTCTTGAAGGACAGTTTTTATTTACCCAGCAGTAGTATCCAGTAAGTACCCTAAATATTGTCCAGATATATATTATGGGATTAGGACTCTCCTGAGCGCCTACATGTGTGAACTCATTTGTGTTTCACAAAACCTTAAAAGGTGCAAATTTTATCAGCCTATCTTAGATGAAGAATTGAGATTGGATGGTCAAATAACTTGCCAAAGATCACACAGCTAATGAGAGGCTCAGCCAGGAATCAAACCCAAATGTGCTAAAGTTGAGCTATCAAGACAACATTTGATGTATTGTCTTTGTGCACATGGGCCTGGCCTGTGCACTTGGAACTGCAGTGCGTAGCTAGTGCCAAACTAAAATTTTTTGAAATGAGGATGGGGCTGGAGGTTTAGCCTGCCCTATAGGCAGGTGAATAAAATTGTTGGGAAGAGCAGATTATGGGGCAAGCCATGTATTTGACATCTCACATCTCAGCAATTCCATTTCTAGCCATATACTCTGAATAAACTCTCATATGATTCATTCCTATATGAATCCAAGGAGACATGTCCAATAATGTTCATAGCAGTGTTGCTTATAAGGACAGCATATTGGAAACAGTTTGTGGTATATTCATGTGATAGGATACTGTTCAGCATAGGAATGAGCACGTGTGAATATGGAGACATTGAAAAATAATAAAAGAGCCCAGCAAGTGGCAAACACCTGTCATTCCAGCAACACTGGAGACTGAAGCAGGAAGGTGGCAAGTTTGAGGCCAGGCAGGGCAACTTTGCAAGACCCTGTCTCAAAACAAAAAATAAAAGGACTGGGGATGTAGCTCCATGGTAGAAAGCCCCTGGGTTGTAGTACCTTACAAAAATTTTTTTAAAAGTAATGAATGAGTGAAAAATTGTGGAAATATATGTATCTCCTATGTGCAAAGTTAATATTGAATGTAAATTTAAAAAGAATCCCTCAAAGCAATGCTATACATGGCTTATGGACCCATACCTATACACATCCTGAAGTTATTAGGATATAAACTGGAACATGTACACCATGTAACCAACTGGGTTTTTTTCTGGAGAAGAAAATGGAAGTGGGGAGGGGGAGGTGAAGGAATGAAATAATTTAGAGTGGTCGACATCAAGGCTTTCAAGTTTGTGTTTTGTCATTTGGGGAGTGAGTGATGGAATGTGGCAGTGAAGGTTGAGGATTCCTAAATTGACAGAGACTACTGAAAATAAAGATTTCTCTCTCTCTCTCTCTCTCTCTGTTTTTGGTATCACAATAAAATGCTGAGAGGAAAGACCAGGGGCACACTTGTGGGCAGACAGTGTGGTCATGTGCAGCTGTGGGGGCTGCACTTCTGCACCTGCTTCCTGGCCAAGGTCTGGCCTCCTGTTGTTGGCAACTGGTGATAAGGTGTTTCTCCCATAGAAGGCTCGAGACCTTTGCTCCAGTGGTGTCTATTCAATACCACCTTTATCAGAGCCTTTGGTTCTCAGCCCATTGGTTTCCAGCATTACTTTTCTAATCCATGGAATTAAGCCTTGAATCTAAACCTCTCATTAGAATGACCTAATCCTTAAATCACTAGCTTTCTGACTTTTCTGGACCATATCCTCACAGCAGGAAACCCAAATGCATAAATGTTTATTCAAAATAACACAAGATTCAGGGACCAATGTTTACTCTCAAGTGTGATGCAGTTAGATCTATTACTTTACATTTTTTTTTTTTTTAAGTTGCTAGCCAGAATCTACTAGATGTTTTTCAAAAGCGTTTGCCTTAAATGATCCTTGGCCCAGTCTTGTTCTAGATTGGCAGTAAGTCCAGGTAGAAAATCTGAGAGAGACTTTGGAAGTTTCAGGACATCCACTTTTGATGGGTACCTCCATTACACTGGAGAAAAATGAACCTCCAAGTCATGTTTTATGGGTTCTCCGTGAGAAGGCAGGGCATGTCAGCAGACCCCAAGCCCTGCTGTGGTGGAAATGTTCAAAGACTATTATCAAGTACCTTTGCTTCATCAGCTGAGTGGATTATGTGTGTGAAGATGTATAGTTAACACAGATAAAATTATGATGGATATAAACAAGTCCAAGAATATCTTACTCAGGTGATTGAATTCAGTGTCAGCCAGGTTATATCCAATTATTACAGGTTAATTAAACATTAAAAATGTTAAGGAGATAGAAATCTTAACTACCCTGATTTGATCATTACACATTGTATCAAATTATAACATGGTACCCCATGAGTTTCTACACTTAAATTAATAATTAAATAAAATAATTTTAAAAAGTTCTTGCTTCCCCCCAGTTTTAAAAAGTTCAAAGTATTCCATAGTGAGCATAATATTTACTAGATTTGCCTTATTATACCTCTTTATCCTTCCATCTATCAGTCCATCTTATTTAAAGCATTGCAAAATAAATTGCCAAAATCTGTTCAGTTCAGCTCTAAAAATTGAGCATGTCTAGAGTTCAATATTCTTTTGAGATAAGATCTACATGCAATGAAATGACAAATCTTGAATGTATCGTTTTATGATTTGACAAAAATACGTACACCTGTTTAAAACAATCCTTATCAATACACCACAGAAAGTTCCCTCATGCCACTTTCCAGTCAGTTCCTGTCCTTGACAACCCAGAGGCCGGCATATTTTAATATTTTCCATGCATATTAGCTTTGCCTGTTTCAGAACTTCACATAAATAGATTCATACAGTATTTTTTTTAATTCAAGTCTTTTACGCTCATAATCTGAAATTTATTCATGTTGTGTCTATTAGTAGTTTGTTCCTTTTGATTGTTGATTCCATGATCTGATTGGAGTCATATATGACATGAATATTGGTGAATGCTTGGGAAGTTTCCAGTTTTGAGGTATTAAGAGTAAAGCTAACATGAACATTCTTGCACAAGCTCTTTCATGGGCACAAGTTTCATTTTTCTTGGGTAAAACAACTGGGAATAGAATTACTGGGTCATAGTTTGGTGTGAGATATGCTTCAATTTTTAAAACTGCCAGACCTTTCCCCTAAATTGTTGAACAGTATTATACTTCCACTTACAAAGTGGAAAGAGTTCTGCATGCCTCATATCCTCACCAATATTTTTTTGTCTGTGTCCCTTGACTTTTGCAGTGAAGAGTTAGGTAAAG